AAGGGTCAAGACACCAGGAGGATATAACCATAATAAATATTTATGCACCCAACGACAGGGCTCCAAAATATATAAAACAAACTCTAACAGCATTGAAAAGAGAGATAGACAGCTTCACAATAATAGCAGGAGACTTCAACACACCACTTTTGGTGAAGGACAGAACATCCAGAAAGAAGCTCAATAAAGACACTGAAGATCTACATGCCACTATCAACCAACTTGATCTCATAGACATATACTCAACACTCCATCCAACAGCAGCCAAATATACTACCTTTTCCAAGGCACATGGAACATTCTCCAGAATAGACCACATATTAGGCCATAAAGCAAGCCTTAACAGAATCCAAAGCATCGAAATATTACAAAGCATCTTCTCTGATCATAAAGCCATAAAAGTAGAAATCAGTAACAGAAAAAGCAAGGAAAAAATCAAACACATGGACACTGAACAACACCTTGCTCAAAAACTATTGGGTTATAGAAGAAATTAAGGATGGAATAAAGAAACTCACAGAATCAAATGAGAATGAAAACACATCCTACCAGAACCTTCAGGACACAGCAAAAGCAGTGCTCAGAGGTCAATTTATAGCAATAAATGCACACATCCAAAAAGAAGAAAGGGTCAAAATCAAAACATTAACCCTACAACTGGAACAAGTAGAAAGAGAGCAGCAAAGAAGCCCTCGGGTGCCAGAAGAAAGGAAATAATAATTAGAGCAGAATTAAATGAAATAGAGAATAGAAAAACAATTGAAAGAGTTAACAAGACCAAAAGGTAGTTCTTTGCAAAGATCAACAAAATCAATAAACCACTGGCCAAACTGACAAAAGAAAAACAGGAGAGGAAGTAAAGGGCCCGAGTAAGAAATGAGATGGGTGATATCACAACAGACCCAACTGAAATTAAAAACCTTTTTCCCCAGCTCACATCTATAATCAAGTGGAGGCAGGTCCCTTAAGACCAAATGACAGAGGAGGAAAACAGTCAAATTTGGTTCACGGATGGGTTGGTACAACAGTGAAAGCTGAAGATGGACTGTGGCTGCACTACAGTTTGACTCAAATGGAAACCTTGAAAGATAATGATGAGGGGAAATCCTCCCAAAGGGCAGAGCTTGGGCGGTACACTTGGTCATCCACTTTGTGTGGAAAGAGAAGTGGCCTGAGGTAATAATATATATGAACTCATGAGCCATGGCAAATGACTCTGTTGGTTGGTCAGGGGACTGAAAGGTAAGGACAAGGAGTCACGAGGAAGTGACCCTATAGGACAGAGTAGAACTGCCCCATAGAGTTTCCAAGGAGCGCCTGGTGGATCTGAACTGCTGACCCTTTGGTTAGCAGCCATAGCACTTAACCACTACACAACCAGGGTTTCCAGGAGGCATGTAGATATAGCTAAAAGAATGGGCATGAAGTGTGAAGGTCTTTGTCTTGCAGGTTAACATCTATCATGGGCATCCACCACAAAAAAGGCACTAAACAAGAGGTAGATAGAATGACTCAGTTGATTGACATCAGCTAACCTCTATCATCAATCACCCCAGTGCTGGTACAATGAGCACGTGAACAGACTACCATGGTGACAGGGATGGGAGCTATGCATGGGTCCCACTCACTAGGCTAATCTAGTTTTGGCTACTGCAGAATATCCTTTCTGCCAGCAACAGAGACCAATGCTGAGCCCCGATACAACCAGGAGAACAGTCATTTAGCAACAAGTAGACTGTACTGGGCCCTTTCCACTGTGGAAGGGGCAGCAATCCATCTTAACTGGATTTGACACTTATTCCAGTTATAGGTCTGCCTTTTCTGTCAGCCAGTACCACTATCTGAGGCCTTATGGAGAGCCTGATCCACTGACAGCATTCTGCATAACATCACATCAGACCAAAAGGCCTACTTTACAGCGAAGTGGGTGCACAGTGGCATGTTTATGGGATACACTGAGCTTTTCACATACCATATGATCCAGAAGCTGCTGGCTTGGGATATCAATGAAACAGCCTGTTGAAGGTGCAAGTGAAACACCAGGAGATGATACACTGTGAGGATGGTGATGTAACCTCCAGGATGCAGTGTAAACCCTAAATCAACATCATTATATGGGTGCTGTGTCCCCAGTAGGTAGAACACATGGGCCTTGGAAATAAGGGAGAAGTGACTCTGATTACCATCACTCTCAGTGACCAACATGGGGAATCCATGCTTCCTGTCTCTGCCTCTGTAGGTTCTACGAGGTTAGAAATCTTGGCTCACAGAAGGGGTACACTTCCACCAGGGGACATACATTCTAAGCTACGGCTGTTACCCAGGTACTGGGCTCCTTGTGCCAAAAGACCAGCAAGCAAGGAAAGGAGTCATCAGCCTAGCAGGAGTAATTAACCCTGATCATCAGGAAAAAATAGGGCCACAGTCACAAAAAAGGGGACAGGGAAGAATATGTATGACACCTAGGGAATCTACTTGGGCGTCTCTTGGTACTCGCTTGCCAAATTATTATGGGTAAACGGACAAGTGCAGCAGCCACAGCCTGAGGAGAGCAGGGTGACCAGGGACTGAGAAGTCACAGGGATGAAGAAGTGCGTGTCACGTCAAGTAAGCCTTCTAGTCAAGGGTGAGGGGAATCTAGAATGGACAGTAGAAGAAGAAGATTATTATTGGTATGGCCTTGAGATCAGCTTCAATAGAAGGGGATGTAGTTCGTTCGGCTAACCCTCTTCTTGAAAGTTTCTCTCAGGAAAACAGGCCCACTGGAATCCTGGAGGAGCTGCTCCAAGAACTTATTTAAAGCAGATCCAAGCAGCAGAAGGAGTGGACTGTAGTGGATGCTGTGGTGTACTGCCCAGTCCCCGCACATCCTTCAGAATTGAAGCACTCTGTTCCACGCGCTGGGAGTACTGACATCTGATCATTCTAAACTGAGATTCTCTCTGTGGATGGCTTGGATCTGAAGAGAACCAATCTACCCAAGATCATGCCTCCTTCCTGGGGGTAATCTAATGACTGGCTGGTGGAGGTTTAAAGTTTCAGCCCTCTCACCCCAATCTGAGACAACTACGAAGAGCCATCCCAGCTCCACAGCTCTCCATAAGATTACTGAGGCCTTTGCTGAAACTGCAGTTTAACTTCTGCTGCCCAGCCTTGCTTCCTTCACCATCCCTACCTCACAGGTATTGATCTTGAGAGCTTTCTCCAATAAACTTCCTGTACACTAATCTGCAACTCAGTGTGTGCTTCCTGGGGAAATCAACCTGAGAAATACACCTTCTACAGTTTGCTCACAGGAGCCCTGGTGGCACAGTGGTTAAGTGCTTGGTTGCTAACTGAAAGGTTGGCGGTCTGAACTCACCAGCCGCTTTGTGGGAGAAAACATGGGGCAGTTTGCTTCTATAAAGATTTACAGCCTTGGAAACCTTATGGGGGCAATTCTACTCTGTACTATAGGGTCACTGTAAGTCAGAATCCACTTGATGGCAACAGGGTTTTTTTTTTTTTTTTAAATGGTTTCTCCATTAGCACAAGATGCATAGCTATATAATGGAGATCTCCTCCCAGGTATCCCAAAAGTACCTCAGATAATATACTTCCCACAAATTTATTCTTCTGATATTGGTGAAATGGTACCATCATCCATCTATCCCATTATCTAAGCCAGAAACCTCAGAATCATCCACTATACTTCTTTCTCTCCCTCATAAACTCTGTCCATTCTCCCTGGAAAATATTTATACTCACCACTACTCCTTCAGCTTTGTGGATACTGATTATTCTGAGTTCTTGTACCTTTCATTCTGTCCCTCTGTTTCCCCTGGAGGATCTACCTCCTCTTCCTGCTAAATACAAGGCTTAGTCCGAGGCCTACATTCATCTTGGGTGTAGTGTTTCCTTACAGATCTCATCTAGTACCCTGCTTTCTGCTCTCATCTCTACAAAGCTGACTCCATGATCTACACCTTCAGCTTGGATCTCTCTAGGAGGAATCTGTCCTCCATCTTTAACTACATGATGGGTAGATGGGTATTTTTATCATATATTCTAGAGTCACTTCAAATTAAAATGTATTTGTAGAAACAAACTTTACTTCTCTCTTTCCCTTGCAGACTCAGCTCATCGAGAAGGGGCCTCCTTCCTCCCACCCCAGATATAAACTCTGGGACCTGCAGCTCCAATGGGACTCTAAACCTGATTTCACTTCTCCAGGCCCTTGTAAGGCCCTGCAGACCTGCCTCCCACCTCAGCTGCAGGCAGGAGACAGGGAGACACCAAGAGGGAATAGTACCCTCTCTTAGTACCCTCTTCCCAGAGGGTGAAGAAGATGGAGACAAGCAGTGAAGAGCTCAGTGTGCTGGACTATAGAAGGGTCAAAGAAAGATTGGACCTGAGGTTCTAGACTGATGTAGAGTAATAGTGACCTCCCTTCTCTGGCCTCCCTTGAAAGACCAGTATCAGGTTGTTTGGGTACAGCACTATTTGTAAATAAATTCTCAATAGATGATAAGGTTAAGAAAACATGGCATTTATTTGATTTACTCATTGTACACTGTTCCCTTGAAAATGTTTTCACCTTCATATTCTCTCCATTTCAACCAAGGAAAATCAAGAAGTTTTACATTTGCTCTTCACTCCAGAGTACATGATAAGCATTTCACAGGAAGACACTGTGGCTTTTACAAGATTATGAAAACAGATAAATACCATACTTTGTAAACTAGGTTGGTGTTTCTCTAAGAAATAATGCTTACCTAATATAACTGGAACAAGAATGTCCAGTTTGATCAATCTTTCAGCTACACTTTATTTCTTTACCTTTTAAAAAAACAAGAGTATCCACTACCAGAGACCTACATTCTGTTTGGAAAACTGCCAAAATCTACATTGCCGTGCATAGGACTAAAACGTAATCTCCACCACAGATACAATCACAGAGGCAAAGTTTACTTAGATCACTGAGTATTTTTAAAAATGTAATGATTATTATTATTTTTTACCTGCCGCTGCCTTTGTCGCCTTGCGTGAGCAAACTGAGAGAGCGTCAGCTGGCGGTCAAGCAGCTCCATTCTTTGTTGTCTCTGGATGTCTACTGTGGCTCCCATTCCGATTCTGGCTTCGCTGGTGGGTTCTGAAGATGAGAAAATGGGCTCAAGGGTCCAAGAAAATAACTTGGCCATCCAGCTAGGAATGCAGAGCACCTGATGAATTTTTAACACCCTGCTGTTGTAGCACATACCGGAAATCTAAAAGAAAAAAGTCCAATTAGATTATTTAAGTGTGATAAAATTTTAAAGGACATATTTAACATAGAAATCAATAACAATAAAACCCAGTTCTGGGTATTACTACTATACTTCAGATGACATTTCTCTTAGTTTTAGCAGTGTCAGGTGATAACTAAAAGACTCTATTAAACTGTAGAATACTAAGGGACAAATCAATAAAAAGTTTAATTTACTCAATATAACAAAATTATTTTATTAAATTAGAAGGGATAGCAAAATGCTAACCATTTATCACTCAAAGGATTTGTAAAACATTTAAAAAAAAAAAACAACAACCAAAAAAGCCATAAAAACAAATCTGATAATAGAAACACTTTCACACTGTACTGACTCTGTGGTTACTCTTTTTGGCAGATGGCCACCAAGGAGAGATACAAACAGAAAGCGACTTTGATGTTCAATGGTCTGACCCAGTCACATAACAAATTTATCGAAAAATAAAGACAACCTAGAATCTTTGCTTTTTAAATGCACTGTTTTAATCAACTTTTCAAGTATTAATTTTTTTTTTAGATTTTTAATTCCTCAACTATATTAGTTAGCAATTTAACAATTCAATTTACAATTTAACTCAATTTTATTTTTCATCTTCAAGGTCATTTATACGTTAAGAGAAGTCTAAAGACTCCCTGTGGTTTTCTACATAAAAACGACTACAGCTGCTCCTTTGGTAAAACTTGTGTATCTTTAATTTTATGACTTTAACTTCCAGAATAATAGAAGTTATTCATACCAAATTAGAGCATATTTGACAATTTCCTGCTTAATGTGAGAAAAGTACACTTAAACGTTTTATTGATAAAATTTAAATTAATTAGTTCATTTGGCAAGAATTTACTGCTATATACCAGGCACTTCTAGGCACTCAGAATACAGCAGAAGACAAGACAAACAAGGTCCCACTCTTGTAGAGGTAACAGTGGTCAATATGGAGACAAGACAGTAAACAAGTAGCACATAAAGGAATTTCTGACAAATCTATAACAGAAATAAAAGAGCGTGACTTCAAGCAGGGATCTTCTCTGTACTGGGTGGTTAAGGAAGTCCTCTAAGGAAGACACTTGAGCAAAGATCTTAAGGATGATGGGATGTCAAGATTTGAAGAATCAGGGGAAGAACAGTTCAGGCAGAGAAAACAGCAAACACAATGTAGGCATAAGCTTGGGAGTAGTTGTTAGAAATTCTAAGCAAATATCAAGTGGGTGGTTGGATATTCAAATCTGGAGCTCAGGGGAAAAGTTAGGTATAGAGAGAGATTTGGAAGTCACTGGCATACTAGGTAGCACTTAAAGCAATAGGACTAGATGTGGTAATATTAGGGTGGGGGATGTGTAACAGAGAGAAAAGAGGGTTTAGGATTGAACCCAGGAGTATGTCAATATTTTGTGGGTGGACAGAGTAGGAGAAGTCAGTAAAGAAGTCAAAGAAGGACCTACCAGTGAACAAGAGGAAAACTAGGAGAGAACGATATCACTGAAGCTAAGCCAAGGGAGTGTTTTAAGATATGAACGGTCATCTACGTCTAATGCAGCCAGGAGTTCAAGTACAATAAAAGAGAGAGGAATGACCATTATATTGTGCCTTTGAAGATCTTTCAAGAACAGTTTCAAGGCAGTGACAGAAGCAGAAGACAGACTGGAGTAGGCTGAGAAGTCAATGGGAGAGGACTTCTGGTGTCAAATAATATCCATGCCCCTTCTATCAAAAATAGCACAAAACAACAAAGAAAAGGAAAACAGAAACAAAGTCCCTCTTTAGTGAAGCTAGAAAGCATCTGTCATCCTGAACCACAAAAACAAACATGGAAAACATACTGAATTATAAATCATTTAGCATATGGGAAGGATAAATCCAGATGCCCATGGAGGGACCCAGGCATCAGGGGTTAGAGACAGCAGGTATTGTGAAGGCAGGAGTTAAGTGGAGGATTACTTAAGTCTGTATAAGTGGCACCCCTAGTTCCCACTCAACACAGTTATGTATGTACCTTCCCTCTCTTGCAGTGAGAAGGCAAAGGCTCTGGAGGGCATAAACCAGAGGCTTTGAAGTGAGGTAGAGCAGGCTTTAGACATAAGGCATGGGACTCTAAACAGGTGGATTACATACAGAACAATGAGGCCCTCAACGTATGTTTTGTAGACGTTCCGGAAGATGACAGAGGGAATATGGGGGTAGGGGAGGGGAGACTATATATAAAGACATTACAGCCGAGAGTTTTCCAGAATTAGTAAAGGATATAAATCTGAAGATTGAAAATGCAAGAGTCCCAAGAAGGATAACAAAATGAAATTCACACCTAGATCCACTATAGTGAAACAAAGAAAGAAATTCTTAAAAGCAGGCAGAGATAAAATACAGATTGCCTAGAAAGGAAAACAGTTAATTGCCAGCAGAGAACAGCAAGAAAAAGTATAAGATAGCTAGCAATAAATCTAACTAAAAATATATAAAACCTTTATAGAGAAAACTAGAAAACTATCATATGGACATTAAAAAAATCCTATTCACAGAGAAAGATAACACATTAAGGAATGAGAAGATACAAAATTGTTAACACGTCAATTCTTAATAAATTAATAATAAGTTCAATACAATTCCAAATAAAATCTTCACAGAGTTTTTGTTGGAACTTAAATACAGGATCCTGAAATTCATACGGAATATTTAAGGTCTGAATTTTAAAAACATAATGTTGAGAGAAAGAAGCATACGTTATGATTCCAATTATGAAAATGGATATTGCTAAACTATATGCCAAGTGGTAAACTATACAGCAAAGCACTGTCTACCATCAGTGCCAGGGTGCTCGGGGACTCGGGATAGTAGTGCTGTCTTGACCTGGGTGGTGGTTAAAGTTATTCACTTTATCCTGATTTGCACAGATTCATACCATTTATATAGTATGCACATTTTTTTATGTGTTATATATCACAATAAAAAAAAGGTAAAAGAACAAAAGCAAAGAAGTTTCCTGGAAACATCCAAACACTTGGAGGGATAGAGTACCTGGGGCTAGGGCCTGGGGACCATAGTTTTGGAGGACATCTAGATCAACTGGTATAACACAGTTTATTAAGAAAATGTTTTAAGAGGTGGGCCAAGACGGTGGAGTAGTCAGACGCTTCCTGTGATCCCTCTTACAACAAAGACCCAAAAAAAACAAGTGAATCAACTGTATATGACAATCTAGGAGCCCTGAATCAAAGGCAAAGTTGCAGAATCAGACTGAGTGGCAGGGGGAGGAAGAGACGGTTTGGAAGCAGCGAGGAGTTGCCAGACCTGACCCTGCGGGAGCCAGCACTCTTCTGGCTGGATAGGGTGGTGCGTGCGGTGAGGCAAGCAGTGGCACGTGGGAGGTGTCTTCCACATTGGGAGAGACTAAGCGGTAGAAAGTCTACTCGGGTCTCCAGCACCAGTGAAAAGCGGCACTCAATCAGCAAAAGATAAGTATATGCATCTGACCTACGGCATGGATCAAAAAATACCCCCTTTGAGAAAAACCTCTCTCCCATTTACCTGCTCCTTCCCCGCTCTGCACTAGCTCCCAGGCAAGCTTCAGCCACTGCCCAGTCTCCTGGGCTGGAAGTGGGACCCATCACATACCCTGAGCCATTCTCCCTGCCTTGGAGAGGGAACAAATTAACAAACAGGAAAAAATAATCTGCTGGCTCCCCTAAGCCGGGAACTCAGGGTAGGCACAGCTCCTTTGCCTAGGCACAGGCATAAGGGGTCCACGGACGCTGAACTCCTCTCTCCCCTGCATAGAACTGTATGGGCCCGTTTCAATGGCGTAGACCCTCATCACCACACTACAAGGTATATACCTGAAGCCTAACTTCAGCTATATGGTGAAATGGAAGGTTCGTGACATTTGACACTGCTCTGCCCATTAAGCAGGGTTCTCACCTACCCACATCAGGGGCCTGAGGGCTGGTGGCTCCACCCACGCCACCTAGCCACCTGCAACAGGGGTCCAAGAATAAAAGGTGTCTCCTAGTCCTTATAGCCAAGAACATTGAGTACTCATAGTCCGACTGCAAAACCCACCACCTATGCGCTATAGGGAATAGGGACATGCTTTCCTCCCAGACACTCAGGGGCAGCCGTCAGCCCCCGGCCTTGCTCAGTATGTGACCCTCTACTGCAGCCAGATACCTGTGCCGACACCAATCACCCCTGCCTGTCTATGACTATAGGTGAGAGCCTGCACCACACACTTGGTGACAGACTACCTGGACACCTGAGCTGAATCCATACAAGAAAAGTAAACAGACTCCTGGGCTCACATACCTAGTAACAGATCTAACCACCTGGTGACAGGACGTTAGAGCTTCAAAGGCGTCAATAATCAAACTAGCTCACATGAGCAGTCTATTTGGGTATACCAAAACAAAACAAGAAGCTAGGACACAGTAAGCAAACACAAAATAAATAAATATAACAACTTACTGATGGCTCAGAGACAACAGTCAACATCAAATCACATAAAGAGGCAGACCATGAGGGCTTCAGTAAGCTCCCAAGACAAAGAATCAAGAAATTTTCCAGAGAAAGAGAATTTCTTGGAATTACCAGAGGTAGAATACAAAAAATTAATATTAATACACAGAACTCTTCAAGAGATCAGGAAGGAGATCAGGCAAAATGCAGAACTAGTCAAGGAACAGCCAGAAAAAACAATAGAGGAACTTAAGAAGATTAGAAAAGAGCATAATGACAAATTTAACAGGCTTCAAGAATCCACAGAGAGACAACAAACAGAAATCCAGAGGATTAACAATAAAATTTCAGAATTAGACAACTCAATAGAAAGTCAAAGGAGCAGAATTGAGGCAATGAAAGTCAGAATTAGTGAGGCCAAAGATAAAGCACTTGACATCAACTTATTTGAGGAAAATTCAGATAAAAGAATTTTAAAAAATGAAGAAACACTAAGAATTATGTGGGACTCTATCAAG